AAACACACAGCCTCATCTAGACATGATAAGTGGGCACCACAAGTGCTCAGTAGAAAAACAAACTTTGCTTCACATTCAGGATGCACTGGCCCAGAAAAAAAACAAGAGTTGAGGGCTTTAAAATCCCTTCCAGCAGCACAGCACCCTGTACCTCACGTGGCTCTGGTGACTGAATGAGGCCACAAGGCACCACTGAGCCCACAGGCTCGTTGCTTCTTACCCTTGATCTTGTTACTGCTGACAGGACACCAGCCTGCCCACTCCAGGCAGCACTGCTGGGCTGGCCAGCCCCAGCCTGCTGTGGATGCACCTTTGGCTCCACCGTGTGCACTTGATGCCAGGGGCGACGTGCTCCGGGTGCCCACGCTGGCAGCAGTGCCTGGTGCCTGCCACACAGCCAGGGCAGCCCCAGGTGGGGCTCCAGGAGCACCAGAGAGGGTCCCCCCCCACCACATGCTCCTGCCCAGCCCTGCTAGGGACAGTGAGAGGTGACAGACGCTCTGCAACCCTGGTGCTGACCCAAGTGAGAGCAGGACATTTACCCTAGGGTGCTCTGAACCATCCAGTCACCAGCATGCAGCTGTACCAGCCCAGATCCGTGCTGTAACATAGCATGGGAAAAAAAGTAACCCTACCGTGTGGCTATTACCTTTAGGCATATTACCTTTGGGAGGGCAGCGTGGGTGTTTGCCATCCTTACCAGGCCACTCCACACTCAGTGAGCCAAACACACGGAAGGTGTTGATCAGTCCAGCTAGACAGAAGGAGAGAAGTCAGCACCTGCCCCTAAAGAGAGATCCATCCTCCCACCTTCCTGATGGCAGAACCAGAGGCTGCTCACCTTCCGTGATGTCCCATGGGACTCCTCCCAGGAACACCTTGCAGGAGTAAACGGGGTTCTTGTAGTTTCGGGGAGGCAGCTGCCCACTCCAGGTGCAGGTTGCTTCATTCACAGCTGGGACAAGCACAAGGAACTCAGTACAGGATCATTTACTCCCCACAGGTCTCCAAGCAAGTCCCTGTACTCCACACCAAGAGGTTCAGGTAGCAACAGGCAGCTGCCTGCACATCCTGCCTGTGCTTCTGTCAGCAGGTAGCCCACAGTCAGACTTCTGCCTGCAGAAAGGACTCATCTGCTGCAAACTTATGTCCAGTCACATTATCTGTACAGAGGCCACCTATGTGTCCTCCCAGAAGCCCAGGACCATCACCATGCACTGAAGCCTGCTGAGACCCATCACCCAACTTACCTGCTGCTTGCCTATGAAGCCTGGCTTCTCTTTCAATACTGAAGGGGTCTTCTGGAGAGTCCAGGAGATCCCAGGAAGGCCACACAGATGCTCCAGGCCATCTTTTTGATGCACTGGCTGGAGAGGAAGTGACTGCAGCCAAGGCAGCCTGATCTTGATCCAGCCGGGATCCCACTCCCATCTTTAGGGGGTCTCTTGACACCCCACTGAGGGGCAAGAAGGGCAGAGGGGGGGAGATGCGAAGGCTTGACTGCAAGAGAAATCCCACATTAAAACCCAGTTTCCAAGTAGGAATATATAATCCTGAAAGTCATGCATCACCCTGGGGACTTGCCCTCACCCACAGCAGAAGGGGCTCTCAGGGGTCTCTTGAGACCCATTAAAGGCTGACAGAGGTAGGAAAAAGCAGCCACATCACCTGTCCCAGCAGCCTGGTGGGGCTACAGTTTCCCTGGGAAAGGCCAGCCCCTGCAGCCATTTCCAGCTGCACCCATGCCAAATTCTCTGCAGTGGTGATCATTCAGCAGGGGGCACCTCACAGACTGCAAAGCCAACAGCTACACCCACCTGCACAGCCTCAAGGACACCTGCCACCCCCGGGGATCACCACCCACCCCATGCTTTGCTTCAGGCCCTGCCTCGCAGGCAGCTCTCATCCCCCACAGACCAGCTCCCAGGCCTTGCCTGACCCAGGTCTGGGCTCAGATGGCTGCAGACTTGGCTGCTCACAGGTTTACTGTGCCTCTCCCAGGGTGGAAGGAGTAAAAGCAGAGATGAACAAAGCAGCAGGGATGCAAGTCACTGTGCAGCTCAGTGCCAGCCACCCTGCAGATCCGTGCTGCAGCACAGCTGGGTGGGAGAGGAAGTGACTGCAGCCAAGGCAGCCTGATCTTGATCCAGCCGGGATCCCACTCCCATCTTTAGGGGGTCTCTTGACACCCCACTGAGGGGCAAGAAGGGCAGAGGGGGGGAGATGCGAAGGCTTGACTGCAAGAGAAATCCCACATTAAAACCCAGTTTCCAAGTAGGAATATATAATCCTGAAAGTCATGCATCACCCTGGGGACTTGCCCTCACCCACAGCAGAAGGGGCTCTCAGGGGTCTCTTGAGACCCATTAAAGGCTGACAGAGGTAGGAAAAAGCAGCCCCATCACCTGTCCCAGCAGCCTGGTGGGGCTACAGTTTCCCTGGGAAAGGCCAGCCCCTGCAGCCATTTCCAGCTGCACCCATGCCAAATTCTCTGCAGTGGTGATCATTCAGCAGGGGGCACCTCACAGACTGCAAAGCCAACAGCTACACCCACCTGCACAGCCTCAAGGACACCTGCCACCCCCGGGGATCACCACCCACCCCATGCTTTGCTTCAGGCCCTGCCTCGCAGGCAGCTCTCATCCCCCACAGACCAGCTCCCAGGCCTTGCCTGACCCAGGTCTGGGCTCAGATGGCTGCAGACCTGGCTGCTCACAGGTTTACTGTGCCTCTCCCAGGGTGGAAGGAGTAAAAGCAGAGATGAACAAAGCAGCAGGGATGCAAGTCACTGTGCAGCTCAGTGCCAGCCACCCTGCAGATCCGTGCTGCAGCACAGCTGCCCACGCCATGGCCGTGCCAGGCAGGACCTGACCTTCACCAACAAGGCTCTCACAAAACCCTGCCACCCCATACAAGTCCAGGGTGCTGCAGCTCCTCACAGCACCCAGGCTCAAATCCTGCCTCTCCAGGGTAGACCACAGGAGAATCAACTCTATGTCAAGCCTCTCACGGTCCTTCACGCCTGTCCCAGCATGGGGGTTAAGGCCACAGTTGCACCAGGGCAGAGCCCGGAGCTACAGCTTTGGCTGTGGCCTCAGGTGCTGAGGCTGAGCCCTGCAGCAGTGCCCGAGGAGCTGGGGCTGGGCTGCCCTGCTGGCACTGAAGTGGCCGCTCATGCTGCAGCACAGACCCAGCAGCACAGACTGGGTCAGCAAGACAGACACTTGCCTTGCTCACTGGCTTCCAAATTTAGCTATGCTTTAGGGAACAGGAGCAGGCTAGACCCAGTTTGCTCTAGAAGAAACGGCCCTGAGGTGGAGAAGTGCAGTCAGCAAATGGGAAGGGCAATGAAAGGCAGGGACAGGAGCTCCTTAGAAGCCCAGAGTGAAGGCAGCTATGCTGATTGATCACCTCCCTGCTGGGATCAGGGCACAGACATCATCCTGCCACACATCAGGTCAAGCATTCAGGAGACCTCCAGGAGCTACTTTAATTTACTAGGGCCACAAGCACAAAGCCAGAAGGACAAAGCATGATTTAGAAAAAAAACCACAGGATACTGCTAATCTGTGCTGAAGGAAGACTGCATGAGCAGCCCTTCTTCCAAAGCTGGGCTGCAGGAGAACTTTGCTGTGTCAGCAAGGGCAAGACAGCTCTCTCCAGTCCCTGCCTGAGCAGGCAGGGCTATGGCCTGCAGCCCCCTCCAGCTCTCCTGTGCTCCCCAGCAACACAGGAAGACACCAGGAACCACAGAGTGGGTGCAAGACCCAAACTTACAATCAAGTCTGAGAGGTGGTCAGAGCCAGAGCTGAACCCGCTGGTGTCTGAGTCCGAGGGGCTGCTGGAACGGGAGTCCAGGAGGGAACGGGAATCCAGGCGGGAGTTCCTCAGCGCTGGCGTGGAAAACTTTTCTGACAGGTCTGAGCCAATGGGGTCTAGAGGCAGGAAACCCAGTGGGGGCTTCCCCAGGACGTTCCCAAGAGGGTTACTCAGCATGCTGAGAACTGCAACAGAAAAAGAGCCTGTCAGTGCTGCAGCATGACACATCTCCTTCCCTCCTGGCTCCCGTGGCAGAAGCCTGGGAGGGTTCTGGACTCCTGTCAGCCCACAGACAGCCTGTCTGGGAGGTGACATGTCTGGCAGGTACCAAACCTCCAGATAGCTCCAGAAAGGCTGTGTGCTCCTTGCTGTCTTGTAGCAATGACAGAGCTATGACACAGCTGGAGCCAATAGCAGGAGCCTAGTGTGGCCAGCATGAGGGTGGGTTAATGTCCCAAGGCTCAGCCAGAAGATCCCACTTCATGTGGGAGCAGAACTAGAAACCCTGAATCCTAGTTACAAATGCTCCAGACAGGCCCCCCCATTACACGGGCAGCCACCCACAGTGAGGGGCACAGACTGGGCCCACAGCAGCATCTGCTGCACACACTGATGGTTGGGCTGAGAGCAGCAAGGCCTGGCCCACCAGCAGGCACCTGCAGCCAGGAGCTAGCTCTGGGAAGCCAGTGTGCCAGCCTGGCCAGCTGACAGTGGAGCTCTGCAGTCACCATCCCAGGACCAAGCTCATCAGCAGCCTGTCTGGTCAGGTCTCTGCTCAAGAGCCAGCAGGCGAGGAACATGCCAGACTGCTTCCCTCACACGGCAGCAGGTTTTCCTCCCACTGAGGAGGATGAAGGCAAATTCCTCCAGACAAACAGAGCCACCCTCCCGCAGCAGAGCAGCAGGCCACTGAGGGGATAAAGTCCTGCCCTGCTCCGTGGGTCAGCTATGTGGGACTGGCTGCCACCCAGAAGGGATACAGGGCAGGCCTGGCCACACAGGATCTCACAGAGGCATGACACCAGGCAGCTCTATTCAGAAGCAGCAAGTCTCAGCAAGCTGAATGTGTCCCCAAACCAAGTGAAAAGAGCAGAGCATTCAGAAATGGTTTTAATTATTTAGAGGCTGCAAAACAAAGCAGCTTGCCCTGAAGCTTTCAGTTTTCAGCAAAACAAGTTTGGGATCCAGTCAATACCCTCCAGCTCCACCTGATCAACCAGCTCAAATCCCAAGGTTTTCAACCTGGGTTTTCAAGGAGATTTTGTGCAGAAGAGGATTAACAACCCAAAACACTGCCCAAACCAGGAGAGTAGCAAATGCCATCACACTCAACTGCACCAGTCTGACATCAGTACCAACCCAGAAACAGAGAAAGCTGCTGAGCGTGCCCAAAGCAAAATGCTGGGATGTACCCATCCCAAGCTGCATTTCCCAGGAGCACACATGCCAGGAGCTGGCATCTCCAGCCTCACACTCCAGGGAGAAACCTCAAAAGACCAACAGAAACCCCAGACAGGTACAGGGGGGTGCTTCACTTGAAGCATTACCTTATCCCAAGGTCTGCAGCAGCCCTCAGCCACTGTCACAGCATCTTCCCACACTGGCAGAGCCTTATCCCCACAATTTCCCCCAGCAGAGGTGCAGCCCCATTCTGGCTGCAGTACAGGATTGTGAACTTCTCCAACCACACCTAGAAAGGCACCTCCTGTCCTCAGAATATCTGCCCTGCTCTCCCCAGCAGCAGCACCTGTGCTTGTCCCCCAAGCCCGCAGCTGCAGAAAAGCCTCTTTGGCCCAGCCCCACTTACCCTGGGCAGAGCTGGAGAAGCAGCAGCAGCCCCAGGAAAGCTGCTGCAGGCACTGGAGCTGGGGAGGAGACTGTTCCCTCCTAGTCCCAGCACAGAGCAGGGCAGAGCATCTCCCAGCCCAGGCAAGCCGCACTACGCTGGTTTGCCGACTTCTCTGAAGCCACGTGATGCGTTTAAAAATACAGCCACTGTATTGTTCAAGGGAGACAGCTGAATTTGTTAAACAGGCTCAAAAATCTGATTAGTCACTAAACACTACAGGAGTCAAAGCAAAGCAGCTGATCCCATGGCCCAAACCTCACTGCCAAAACCCTCCTCAGCCATGGGGCACAGTGGGCAGAGACAGCCCTGTGCTCACCCCCGGACACAGGGTGCCCAGAGACCTGGAGCAGCCAGCACAGATCACTGCCAGACAACCCTGTCCTGAACTTCATCTCCTGGTTATCTGAGATGTGGGACCACAGCTCCATTTGGGATGCAGCAGCAAGAGTTGGGGGGCTCATCAGGAGTCCCCAAAAGTGTGATGGGGTCCAACTGCTCTGCCCCAGTTGTTTCTGCTCTGCCCCCATACTGCCCTGCTACAGCTGCTGCTTCCACAGTTGCTCCCAGGATTGCTCAGCTCTCACCCCAGTTAGAAAACCAGTAAGGCAAGTATGAGTGTGTTTCAGAAGCAGCCTTTCAAGGGATCTACTGTCTGGGCAGCCAAGCTTCAGCTCCTACCACCAAGTAAAGTCCTGCTGGCTACAGCTGACCCTCTCCTAACCTCATGTCCTGGAAGCACCGACATCCTGCTGTTGGTGCAGGTGGATTTCACCCACTCCAGGAGCTCTGACAGGTCTGCACAGGCAGTGCCTGGTGACCAGCTCTGCAGCCTACACTGAGCTTGTGGGAGAGCCCACATCATCCCAGTGGGTCTGACTCTGCCTTCCTTGGTACTCAAAGGGATATAGGGAGAAAAAGCCAGAGGGAACACTGAACATGGCTCACGTCACTTGCCTAGTGATCAGGTTGTCCCCTAAGCCAGCCTTGCAGGTAGCCTAGGAAACACCAGCGTCAGAGACCAGACTTTATCTCTCACCCCCCCAACCCAAAGGCAGCCTGCTCCAGCTCCCTGCCTGCAGGGTTACACACTGAAACACCTCCTGGGGGATGCGGAACAAGAGTCTGATGAGGGCTGCCCACCCAAAAAAATGCCCTCAAGTCACTGGGGCCACTCAGTAAAGCCCTCTCTTGCAGGAAAGTTGGCCTCAGCTTCCCTCCCAAGCAGACAGCTTCCATCTCCACACCATCTCCAACGCACACACAAGATGCATCAGCAATTTCTGGTGTCAAGATCCCAAAGCAAAGCAGCAAACGTCAGGTAACTACTAAGTAAAAAAAAAAAAACACACTACCCAAGCGTGAGCAAGTATTTCTCACGTTGCTGGGGGCATTTTTCACTGAAGGCTCCACACCATCCCCATTCACCTGCTCACATATAGCCCAAGTGTCACGCTGAGAGCTTCTGGAACTTTTCATGCCTCAGAGCTGCAAGAGACATGCCAATGCTCCTTTGCAGGGGACAGCAAAAAAAGCAGCTTTTAATAGAAACTCAGCTCTGACTTTTGACTTGCTGCTGCAGCTTTAATGACTGGATTTGGAGCCAGCGTGCTCCATCTTCCAGCACGTCTGCCAAATGCTGACAGATTTAAGAGCTCTGTGGAGCAGTCTCGATACCAGCATGGCATCCCTCCAGGTCGTGGGTGCTCAGGTTGCTCTCTAGAGAACAAACATTCTATAAGCCACTCCTGCTCAGCTGAGCTTTCCCTAGGAAATGCAAGCAGGACAATGCTGCATCATCCTGGGGCCTTTAAAGATCCCAAGGAGCACATGCACAAGCACCAGCACTTGCTGCACCCAAGCCAGACATTTCACAGCAGAAGTAGGCAGGTATCACAGCAGTGGGCTTGGTTTCCCCAAGTTTCACAGGGTGGGTAGTGTCCACTCTTCAGGCCAACTCTGTCCTGTAGACCCCCAATCATCTCTTCCAGCCACTTACTAACCACTCAGCTGTCACATCTAACATGAATTGACCCAATCTCAAGCAGATCACTCAGTCAGCACAGGCTGAAATTCACAGCACAAGCCTTGGGAAAGGTGCCCCACAGCAAAATGCCAGTACCCAACCCACCACAGAACAGCTTTTATTTGTCCACTTAGAGTAGCAATTTAAGAATTTCAGCACCTGCTCAGAACCTTGAAGCATACATTTTTCTTCCTTGCTTACTATAACTTCCAGCCATTTAAGCATTAGACCTTCCTGGTAGCTTTAACCAAGCCCATTTTATAACCCATTGATGTAAAGATGAGCCCTAAGGAGCCAGGCTGGCAGCTCAGGGAAGGGCTCTGGGTAAATAAACCACCTTACTACTCTGCTGATGACAAATGATGCTTTAATGCCTTGAACAAGACCTTAAGAGCACTACACAAAGCATCCATTGAATTTCTTCCTGACAGCTCAAGTTGACAAAAATCTCTGCCACCACTAAGTTGTCCTCTGAGCAACTACTTCTGCTTTAGCTTGGGCCTGCAAGAGACCACTCAGCAGAACCAGCCAGGAGCACAAAAGCAGTGCTGGTGCTCTCTGCTCCTGGGTTTTAGTCAAGTTATCTGGAAACAGACCTGCCCAGAGCAAAAAATCCTCTCACCTTACAGCTGCCCAGGGTCTCTCTGCTCAAGATCTTTCCCCACACAGGTGGAAGCTTCCCCATAGAGGAAGAAAACAGTGTTTGCCATAGGATGACAAATCCTTCAGCCACTTCCCCAGCCTGAAGGCATACAAGAAGCTCCTGTGGAACAGAGCAGGATGCCAAGCCCCAGGTTCTGCCATTACCAACCATGTCTGACACCTTAATGCTGAACATGCAAGAGCTGTTTGACACCACACTTGGCAGTGGCACTGGGTGCTGGATGAGCACACATACACACTCTTCTTGAAGTCCTGCTCTGAATACATATTTCAGCTTTTGAAAACTCCCCACAGGCCTGGAGATAGGCTATTTAGAAGGCACCAGGATTTGCACAAGCCAAGTCAGCAGTGCTGAGCCCTCCACTGGGTCACTTTTGCTGGCTGGCACCACCAGCAATGTTAGACAAAGGGACGTCTCGGTCACCTGAGAGGAGACACCAGAAGTTTGTTGAGAGATTACTCAGCACAAGAGGGATGACAGTCTGTCAAGATCTCCTTTGCATACACCAACTACTACTTTCAGGGTAAGTCCACCCTGCCCTGATCTTGCAGGGACAAAGAAATCAATAAAAAAGCTCTTACCAAGGGAAGAAGGGCAGAAGAGATGGGTTTCAGTGCCACCATACTTCTGCTCCCACTTGAGACACCTG